CTACAAGGAATTCATAGCACAGAACTCCCAGGCTCCAAATATCCACCTTTTCATCATGTGTTCTTCCCTCGATCATTTCAGGAGGCAGGTAGTCAAGTGTCCCACAGAGAGTTGTTCTCCTGAAGAAAAGTCCAAGTTAATTTACTGATTATGGCAATTATAAGATCCATTTCAAGAGCCAGATGGAAGCTAATGGTGGCAATCACCTGTACCTCAGTGCAATCTACCCTGGACAGACTCAGCACCACCAGAATACCTGGTAAAGAAGTTCCAGCAGTAAGTTTTCTACTTTTGCTTTAAAGCATCTCAGTCACTGCATTCTTTCTTATTCTTATTTTTTTCATCACTCACTAGATCAAATATAGTCTTCCTTTGTCAGGTGCAGTTCAGACTAATTAAGGAAGTGTCTGAAGTATATTGCTAGTGTGATGTTTGAACACAAGTGCTGGTCTGTCCTCTCAGGGACCCCTATAACCCTACAAGTGTACACCAACCTTCTTCACTTTTTTCAGGTTCAGCAAGGTTTGAACTATACAAGTTGAAAAAACAGGATAAAAACACTCCCTTCTCTGCTACACCAGTTGACTATTAAGACCTTCGCTGCAGTGGCCCAGTTCTTAAACGATTTGTTCCCAGTATTTTAGGAAGTTCACATTTACCCCCATTCCACAACTGTAAGCGTGACAAGAAAGCTAACATTTTCATTACAGAAGTATTTCACCACATAAGATATATATTGCATTCTCACCTGGAAGATGGAGCGTGCACAGACCATCCAAAGTCAGCAATTTTTAATTCTCCATTTGAGCCAAGCAGCAAGTTTTCTGGCTTGATGTCTCGGTGAATCACGCTCTTTGAATGACAGTATGATAGGGCATCTGCTAGTTCTGTGATGTACTGTGTTTGGAAAGAGAACAAATCTTTAAAGTATAAAGACATTGCCGCTCTAGCTTATCTGGCTACCGTATAGCCTTTTCTAAGCATAATTAGTAGTTTAAGTTAGAGCAATTATTCCTTAAAGCCTTGAAGTCTGGCAATACAGGCTCTGCCTGAAGTGACCAAGCACTTGCAACATTAAGCAATGCTGAACACTGCTGTATTAGTGCTGTGCAGAAATTTGTCTTCCCAACTTATTCCTCGTTACAAGCACACAAGAAAACCAGCACCTGAGGAAGCTGTTTCACACAACAGAATACCAAACTGTATCTGAAGAGCTAGCTTTATAATGCAGATATTCCAGATATGAAGACCAAGTAATGTATAAGAAGCTAGAACAACCTACAGTAGCAGTTCTTTGCTCATCAAACTTGGTAAGCTTCTGAAGTTCTTTGTAGACTTCTCCACGAGGTGCATACTCTAGAATAAGGTAGACTCTTGTAACATCGTGGAAGTAGCCATATAATCTGAGAATGTTGGGGTGCCTGCAAAAAGATTGAAATATTCTTCTGAACAAGGTGTTTGTCCATATAACTTTAATTTCCATTTCCTGCCTCCCCCCTTTCAAGGCAAGCATAGGAACTTGAACATCTTGTAAGTGTTCCTTCAGCACACAACATATCCCTTAAGAGAGCTTCATAGCAGATAGATGGTACTTATCAGAGCAGCAGCTTAGACTCCCTACTAGCAAGCAGCTGGCCAAGCGTTTGGCTAATTCTTATCTTCTTGAACATGCCTTTCTACAGCAGCCGGAAGAGTAGATTACCATTGAAGGTGCCAATTCCTATGGGGTTTGGAATTTAAGGTTAAACACTTTAAACACTTTCCATGAAACAACTAATTTCTTCAGCAAGTTGGGCTCATTTTCCAGGAAACAGAACACCGGAAACAAGCTCGAAGTCTTGAGAAATTGCCATTACAACGTAAATCCAAGCAGCAGACAGGGGGTTTTTATTGCAACATGGAGATTTGTTACCAGAGGTTACTTCATTGCAACCTAGGCAAAGGTAAATCTTGGTGCAGAAAGGCAAGAATCCTAACTAGCAATTTCAAGGTGTCACATGTCTAAAAAGAAACTACTCTTCTTCAACAGGGTATGTTATCATAAACAAGGTTACTTTGTTTATTTGAACATAAACAAAGCAAAGAGTGTACTGGTCACTGAACTTTACCTAAGATGAGACTGTATTTCAACTTCTCTTCGTAGTTGATGTTCTACACCAGCTTCCTCAAGTTGTGTTTTAAAGAGCACTTTCAGTGCAAGAATAAATTTGCTCTGCTTTTCACGTGCCAGGTACACATTTCCAAATTTTCCTTTCCCCAGAGGACGACCAATTTCAAAATCATCAAGAGACCATTGCCTCCTACAAGAGAAAAGATAGTTACAAATGGCAGATACTTGTGCGGGCTTTGACTCCTAGGTTCACAATCAATAATGTTCCTGTTCAATAGACACTGAGTGATCTGAGCTGGATTTTAGTCTTTAAGAGAACACCACCAAGAGGCGAAAATACACATTGAGACTTTTCAAAAGAAAGTTCTGAAAGCTAGTCTCTTCCTTCCTGAAACTTAGGCACAGAGATACAAACGTCAACCACACTACTACACGGTCAAAGCTGCGTATACCAAGCCAGGCTCGTTTCAATACACTCAATACGGAGGTACTTACTAGTGCCCATCAGAACCGCACTGTTGAAGGTAGCCATACTACAAATCTAACTTCATCCTTAGTTAGATTCCAGCCTCTCAGACATATGAAGGAGGCTTTGTTTTCAAGTGTACATCTTGTGATTGGAGCAGTGGCTATCAGTGTTCTCTCATGGGAAAAGCTATTACTCATGTAGCCAGAAGTTTTTAGATTACAGGAAGTCCTCGTTCCTGATAATTATCAGGTCGAAGTAAACTTTCCTAGAGTTTCATTTGTTGTCTCTGTGAAGTGCAAAGCCACTGGTCTCCACAACCAAGGGGCTCAAGTAGCCTTCAGCTTAGTCCTAGAAGTTAAAAACAAGCCTAATCCAACAGGACTCAGTTAGCTAGAACAATTTAGGCATGCAACTTACTTTTTAGTCTCTTCATTTTTCTTTTTAGCAGTCTCTTCGTTTTTCTGTTTAGAGGTGCTTTCTGCTTCAGAATTTTTTGCTATATATAGAGAAGTAGATCAACTTTATGAACCAGACCCATACAAAAAAAAAAATCACATGGGAGCAAATCTAACCTCTGTGCAGTATCTGCAACAGTTCTTAGAATACACTCAATGACATTTTAAACAACCTAGTGTAGCTTGCTATTGGCAAAGCAGCATAGCAGTTACCAGTGCTATCAAAATGTAATTTTAAAAGCTTTCTCAAAAAAAAAACCCGCACCCATTAAGCTTCCCCCCAAAACCACACAGTATTATTGCATATAAGAGATTAACATGAGTACTGGAAAAACTGATGTCTGAGTGCCAATTACATTAATCCACAGCTGACTAGCGAGCATCTGGAAGTTTTTCAACACCCATATTGGCTCTAAATGGGCAATCCTGGCAACAAGGATAGTGCAGTGACCTCCAAGCTGCAGGCTGTGCTGCCATTCTGTTTCTGGGCACAACCAAGTGCTTCTCTACAGGACTGTCTCACATCATCATCATCAGCTTTAGGGTTTCTGCACTGCACTCTGCTTCATAGCATAGAAGCATCCCAAGTGTTACAACTGTGTAACTACATGTACATCGTCTTCAGAATTACCAGGTACTGGAGCCTGTTGAGGTTTTTCATTGCTCTTGCTTGGAACCTGAGGCCTAGCAGTTGGCTGGGCCGGAAACTTTGGTCGGGGCTGCTGCGTTGTCTGGTTATTAGACAGTTTTTGGTTTGACAGTACAGATTTTTGTGATTGTACAGGAACTCGCTGGGGAAAGTTTGAAGGACACAGAACACGTTGTGCTTGAACTCCACAGTTCAGTAACCGGCTCTGGGCAGAATGCTGAGACACAGGGACACGTTTCGGGGCATCCCCAATGGGATTAGCAATCTTCAAAAAGAAAAATTATATATTAATTGTAGCATAGCATACTATAACCTTTACCCATTCAGTAGAGAAAAAAAAACCCACAACACACATTAACAGGAGATGTTATGGTATTCTGATCTTATGTTTTAAGAATGAAAGCATTCTTAAATTTCTACATTGTAGAAAACGGCTAGCTTTTTCTTGTCAACATGCTTATTTATAGAATACATTATATATAATGCTTATAGAAGAACTTTTCCACACACATCTGAAGAATATCAGCCAAAGGCAGCGGGACAGCAGACCCTTGCTATGAAAACATAAACTGCTTTGAGTCATTGCTCCCTTTAATGCTCTTCATCTTGATGTACCTTGCGCTGCACCGGGAGTTCAGCAGAACAAAGCAAGTTTATTTAGTAAGGTTCGGCTATCTGCTTTTAATCTTTTGCTTCCACTAAGGGAAGGTAGCTTATGCTTATATACCTCTTTGTTTTTAAGTTAAAATAATGAGAAAGTGTCTGTGTTTCTATATACAAAAATATGTAACCAAGGTGATCTTAAGTACTCCTGCACGGGCAGGAGAACAGTGACATTAACGTGATGCTTGCTTTTGGAAAACACATCTGGAATAACCTGCCTACGCACATTTACTCTCTCTTTAAATGATCTTAGATTATACTTAAAATATAAGGATGATTTTCCAATTCAAGTATGAAATACCAATATTAGCAATTAAAAGAAGCAAGCCTTGGGCACTGTTCTCTCCAAGAGAAAGCTACTGAAAGATAAAGTTGGCAATTGTTTCCTGCACACAGAAAACATTGTTTCAAGACAATTTTCCTACTTTTTGTTACTTAGTACAGTTAACAATAATCACCACAGACAGTTTGAAGACTGTAGCTATTGTATGATCAGGAAAAATACGCCCACCAACCTAATAAGTCACTTACTTTCGTCACACGGCTGGGGTAGCCAGAATGGTTCTCTTTCGTATTCTTATCCATAGCGCCTGGGGAGAAGAGCCGCATACAGCTTAGCCTACGGATGAGACGTAGAGAACGGGTCACTTCCACAGAAAACACTGCGTCTTGGAGCTCCTCGTCAAGACGCGTCCCCCCCCTTCGAACGCCGCGAGGCCGGGCCGGGCCG